AGAATGTCATAGTATTATAAAAATTATATAAAAGATTAGTTTTAATCCATTTTATTTATAAAAAAAATGGTAAAAAATTATTTGAATTGTACTTGAAAAAATATAACAAATGATAGCTTTAATCGTTATATACCCAAAAAAAAAATTATTTCGGTTACTCAACGAAAAAATGATCAAATACAAATAGAGTCATGAACATTAAATTAAATCATATGGGCTCTAAATTGATAATATAATCTAGCAAATCAACTAATAATAACATAGAGATATTGACAAAATGTAGTACTTCCCTATCATCTTTGTATTATATTCATTAATTTCATATATTATATGAAAGTTTTATTCGTCTCGATCTTTCAATAAAATAAGGATCAAGAAAAAAAATTTGATAAGAAATTGATTCTAAACTTAATTATTCAAAAAGCAAAAATTTCAAAGAGCGAATTTAGAGATGGGATTGAAGAAATACTATAATGAATGACAGCCTTATAAAAAATTAAAAAAAAAAACATCACAATGATCTAATGCAAATTATTTTTAATAACTAATAGAAAGAATCTCAAATTATTACCTTTTATAAATATAGTGAACAAAATTAATTTTGTGAGATTTTTGTGCTACCTTCTCCCATGTAGCCTTTATTATTTCATTATTAATACTATTCTCATTCAGAGCGATAATTTTTTTTTTTATAATCTTTATCATTTGGTACTTGTGCGAGTGCGTGGCCTAAGGCGAATGGAGGAGAGGCCATGACGATCGACGAGTTCTTCTCATGTTACAAAGCGTCGGGGCAGCAAGAAACGTGGGTCACCCTACAAGCAGTGATGGGCAGGGGGTTGGTGGCGGGGCTGCCTACGTCGATCAAGGGGTGGCGGCCACGGTGGTTTTTCGTGTCAGTTAATGGGGGGATGGGGGTGCGCACCATGTGGAAGGTGCATTTAATCTTTATCTTTATTTGTAGGCCATGAAATTAATTTTTATAAGTTATTTATCAACTTTTATTTGTTTATTTATGGGAAGAAATTTTAAATTATCTATAAGTTATGAAATTAATTTTTTAAAATTAATTGTTTATTTTTTATCTTTATCTGTAGATTATAAAATTAATTTTCAGTTTTTATATGTTTATCTATATGGACGAATTTTGAAATTCAAATCTTTATCCATAAATAATGAAATTAATTTTAATTTTAATTAATCAAACAAAAAAAAACGAAGAAAAATAGAAAACATGAAAGGCAATCAAAGAAGGTTGCCATGTAGGAAAGAGATTGTTTTAAAATTATGAGAATTTAGGAATAAATATTTGGAGGCTTTTGACAAAACAACTACATTTGGTTATATATATAGTATAGATATATGTTGTATAAATTGTGTGATAACATAAACAAATAGATTCATACTCGTTAATTGAAATTTCAGAACAAGCAAACCATTCTGAAAATTACAATATATAACAAAATAAAATAACATAGAAAAGCAAATCGAAACCTGCACTAGACAGTGTCCATAATTTTTTTAAATAAATTTAGAAAATTCTAGATATGCATAAAATTGGACAAGAATAATGTGACAATGTTAATTAATGTGTATTTGATTTTATTGTTGAGCCAAATAAAATAAAATAAGATTGAATATATATTTAGCTTTGGTTATGAATCTTAAAAAAAAAAATGGTTGTGAACCTTAAAAAAAATTAAAAAAATTAAAAAAAATAAAAGAAAAAAGATTGAATGTATATTTAGCTTTAGTTGTGAATCTTAAAAATTAAAAAAAAAATGGTTGTGAACCTTAAAAATTTTAAAAAAAATTTAAAAAAAAAGATTGAATGCATATTTAGCTTTGGTTGTGGATCTTAAAAAAATAAAAAAAATAAAAAGTTGGTTGTGAACCTGAATAAATAAATAAATAAATAAAAGAAAAAAGATTGAATGTATATTTAGTTTTTGTTGTAAATCTTAAAAAAAAAAACATATGAGTAAATTAGTGGGTACCCATCCCCTGTGATATTTAAAGAATATCACTTACCCTATCCATATATTTGGGTTGGATCTCCATGGATACCTACATGGTAGATTATCCATTGTCATCCCTACAATTTAGTATCGTATACATTTCTGATTTGAGGATGGATTCGTATCACAGGCCCAATCCAATTGTCATGAAAGGCCAGAAGAAACCCAAATTGATCGATCCAAAACAAGATGGATGATTTTATGCAGACCCAAATTTATAACCTCCCATTCAAAAATGAAAGTCTCATTTTTGATCCCACACTCAAAGAACGTATGAATAATATATATATATTTTGGGTGAAATTAATACAATTTGTGAATATGAGGCTCCATATTTTGAACTAATCATATGATGTATTTTGTTTATTACTAGGCACACAGAAAAGTGTGTAAACGAATTTATTTTGCTAAATCAATTGTGCTATTTCAGTCATTGTTGAACTTTTTTAAATAATTTATTATTTAATTTGACGTTTTTGTCTTAAGAAAACACATATATATAGGACTATTTTGGGAACATTTTAGCCAAAAAAAACTACTACAAAAAAAGTCAATTTTTTTCTTTATTTGTTTATACGTTTTTTAATAAAAATAAAAAAAATACTAAAAAAATCAATTTCTAAAACAACCTGAACTTCATCCTACTTAAATGATAATTTGAGATTGGTTTGAGCATTAAAATTTTTAATTATTTTTTTTATTTTTTTTAAAAAAAATCTTAAAAATTACATAAAGTAAATTTATTTTTTGTAGTGACTTTTTTTTTTTTTTTTTTCCAATATAATTTTCTTTGTTTGGCTGTTCATACGATGGCTCTTATTTTTCCTTTTTCCCATTTTGCTCTTTTGTGTGTTTCTCTTTTTTGTTTTTTATTTTTTATTTTTGTTTTGAAGGGTATTGTGGAAAATTCATCCCCGTATGTCTTCCTTGATTTTCTTTCCAACCATAGTGATAAGACTCCCTCAGCATTAGCAGCTAACTCATCAAGTCTTACACCAGCTCACTCTGCATCAAGCTCAAGATAGTTAGTTAAGTAGTTAGAGTTTGTTAAACTCAAGTTAATTAGTAATTAGAGTTTGTTATAGTTTGTTAGAAGTTTGTTACATGTCATCTGTATAAATATACAATGGATCTGATCATAAAAAATAATGATTGAGATTCAATTGTTCTTCATGGTATCAGAGCCCAAATAAAGCTCCTACGAGCATAGTTCCAATCCACATATGGCTGTTTCATTATCTTCTCCATCTTCTTCTTCTTTACTTGCAAATCTTAATCTCTTGATTTCCAATCTGAATTCTTTCATCACAGTTAAACTCGATTCCACCAATTTCCTTATATGGTGAAGCCAATTTCAGAATGTTTTACGAGCCACAGATCTGTTAGAATTTGCAATTGGATCAGTTCCATGTCCTCCATTGATGATCACCGACTCTAATGGTCTTGACGTTTTGAATCCAAATCGAGCCACTTGGAACAAGACTGATGCTCATCTGCTCAGTTTTATAATTGCTACTCTTACACCTACAATTTTTTCCTCTGTTCTTCATCTGCAACATAGCTTCGAGGTATGGACTGCTCTTTGCAAACGGTTCACCATAGTGTCTCATTCTCGCATCCATCAAATCAAGAATCAATTGACTCAGTTAACCAAAGGCTCCAAATCAATTGAACAATATTTGTTTCAAATCAAAGAGCTTGCTGATCAATTAGCTCTTGCTTCATCACCTATGGATGATGAAGATTTGGTACTGCTCACTCTGAATGGCTTGCCATATGAGTTTGATGCTCTTAAAACTGCTGTCCGTGCTCGGATTGAGCCTATTTCCATGGTAGACTTAACTTCTCTTCTGTGTTCTGAGTCTCTTCATATAGACTTCAAACAGAGAAAATTGCAATCACATGAAAACATAGTTGCCTATGTGTCAACCAGTGGTTCTTTTTCTTCAACAGGAGGACGATCCTCTTTTTGAAGCCAGAAAGGAGGATTTCGAGGCTCTTTTCATGGTACTGGACGACAGAACTCTTGAGGTAGAGGCCGATTCTATTCATTTGCTGAAATTTGTCAAACCTGTGGCAAAGGTAACCATACGGCTCTTGATTGTTGGCACAAACTGTATATGAATTTTCATCAGACTGTGCCTCCACATGCTTCAACTCAACCTTCTTCATCACAGTCTGTTTCTGAACTCTCTTCTATTTATCCTTCACCATGAGCTTATGTTGTTTCTGTTCCCCCTCCTTCTCTATCTGAAACTGCTCCATGGTACCTTGATTCGACTGCCTCTGATCATATTACTCATAATCTCTCCAATATCAACATGTCATAATCCTATGCTAGTCCTGATCAGATCATAGTTGGAAATGGCACTTCTGTTCCTATTTATCTCACAGGTAAAGGTCTCCTTGCTACTCCTCATTTTTCTTTTAAACTCAATAAACTTCTTCATGATCCTATCTCTTTCAATCTTCTCTCTGCTCATTAACTCACCAAAGATAATAACTGCACTATTACTTTTGATGCTTCTTCCTTTGTGGTTCAGGACAAGAACACCAAGGCCATTTTGCACAAAGGCTATAATGCTAATGGCCTGTATCACTTTCCATCTCTGTTGTCTTCTTTTCATCATCCTTCTGATATGCATGCTTTTTCAGCCTCATCTACTGCTTTCTTGACAAAGACCTCTACATGTGCTTCTGAACACACTTGGCACAAACGATTAGGCCATCCATCTCAGTTGAAGTTTACTGCTTTAAAGAAGCATTTGTCTTTTACTTTCAATAAAACAAAGTCTGATCTTAGTTCTTGTACACATTGTAGTATGGCTAAGAGTTATAGACTTCCCTTTAAACTGTCAAATTCTACTGTGAATAATCCTTTTCTCTCATTCATAGTGATGTATGGGGGCCTTTTCATTCTACTTCATCTGAATACAAGTATTATATGATTTTCTACATGGCACTTTGGATGAGGAAGTATATATGATTCAACCACCAGGTTTTGTTAGCTCTTCATCTCCCCATCATGTGTGCAAGCTTCAGAAAGCTCTTTATGGCCTCAAACAGGCTCCTCAAGCTTGGTACTCTACTTTCTCCAAGTTCTTGTTATCTCAAGGGTTTGTAAATAGTCATTGTGATAACTCTCTCTTTATTCACAAGACTTTCACTACCATAACAGTACTTCTGGTGTACGTAGACGATAGTTTACTTACTGGCAACAGTCCCTCTCATCTTCAAGCTCTCATTCACCAGATGCACTCTGCTTTTGCCATGAAGGAATTGGGCGATCTTTCTTATTTCTTGGGTATTTCTATTCAAGCAGTGGGTGACTCTTATTTTTTGTCTCAATCTAAATATGCTTCTGACATTCTTATTAAAGCTGGGATGACCTCTTGTAAACCATGTCCTACTTCTATGTCCATGAAACCTGTTGATACTCCTGCTACTAATCTTCCCTTTCGTCAGCCTCAGTTATACAGAAATTTAGTAGGTGCTTTACAGTATCTAACTCTTACTCGTCCAGATTTGTCATTCGCTGTCAATCAAGCATGTCAATACATGCATGAACCCACTAATGCTCACTTTGCTCTGCTCAAACACATTCTTCGGTTTGTTCAAAGTTCACTCTCTCGTGGCTTGACTTTTTGTCCTAGTTCGTTTGAGCTCCAAGCCTTTTCTGATTTGAATTGGGCTGGTTACACTGTTGATCGCAAATCTACCTCTGGATACTGTATTTTCCTTGGTTCTAACATCATCTCTTAGTCTGCTAGAAAGCAGCCCACAGTCTCCAGATCAAGCATAGAAGCTGAGTATCATTCTCTTGCTCATGCTACGGCTGAACTTAGTTGGTTACAAATGCTACTTCGTGATCTTTCGCTACCTCTTGTAACCACTCCTATTCTTTGGTGTGATAACTTATCTGCCATCGCCTTAGCTTCAAATCATGAGTTTCACACAAGGTCTAAACATATCGAAGTTGATTGTCACTTCATTCGAGACAAAATTACTTCCAAGAAGCTTCTTCTTCACTACATACCCTCTGCTGAGCAAATTGCAAATGTCTTCACCAAAACAATGTCTGCTGCTCGGTTTCAGTATCTTCAGTCCAAGTTGCTGGTCACTTCTCCTCCCATTAGCTTACAGGGAGATGATAAGACTCCCTCAGCATTAGCAGCTAACTCATCAAGTCCTACACCAGCTCACTCTGCATCAAGCTCAAGACAGTTAGTTAAGTAGTTAGTTTGTTAAACTCAATTTAGTTAGTAATTAGAGTTTGTTAACTCAAATTAGTTAGTGGTTAGAGTTTGTTATAGTTTGTTAAGAGTTTGTTACATGTCATCTGTATAAATATACATTGTATCTGATCATAAAAAATAATGATTGAGATTCAATTGTTCTTCACATAGAGATCATCACTGTCTCTTCTTTTTCTTTGTTTTTTTATGCTTTTGTCTGTTTCGTTCTTTCTCTGTTGCATCTTTTTATTTTTTTTCATTTCTCCATTTTGATTGATTTTTTAAATTTTATTTTAATTTGGCTCCTTTATCTTTTTAAATTTTATTATTTATATTTATTAAAATATTTATCTTCAAAAAGACTATGTTCACACCTCTCTACTAAATAAAATTATGAATTTGTTATGGTGTTAATATTTGTAAAGATAATTATAAATAATTCTAGTTATATTAGGAAAGTTTTGTTTATGAACCATGATGATTTTATTAAGCCTTTGTTTGGGAAGTGAGTTGGCTTTTTGACTTTTTTGACTATTTTAGCCTGGAGCTAAAAAACTTAGTTTGGAAAGGATTTTTGGCTTTTTTGACTTTTTTGTGAGAGAAAGAATGTAATGATTATGGGTTGGATGTTGTAGACACCCCATTTTTTACCAACCTTAAGACTCAGACGTCACCGATTGAGCGCTTGGTGATGTTGCATATCGTGCTCGTTCAGAAGTTTCAGAGTCTCGGCTGCGAGCCTTGCCTCCGGACTTCCGGACTCTTTCATGCTTTGCCTCGGTTTGCGAACCAGGCTCGGTTTACTCTGTTTCTCTTCCCGAAGGAAGGGAGAGGTCTCATAGATCATCTCTCAGTGGCCGTAGGCTACATTTCGTGGTCTTATGCTATTTTGCCCGTTTGGAGTCCGGTTTCCGATTTTTCGGAGCCATTGGCCGTGTGCCTCGGTTCAAGACCGCTTAACCACCTCCATTTGCTCCGATTTTTGGCATACTTCTTATTTGCTCCCTTTTGAGGGACACTGTGGTCCGAGAGATCGACTTCGTGGTCGAACATCACTCCCGGTGCCTAACATTCAGTTTTTGGGGCCTTGAGCTGCGCGTTTCGGCCCCCGAACCTTCGTTTTGCATCGGTTTGGGTTCATTTTTGGCAGGGACCTCTGTTTCATTGGTAAGAAGGCCGTAGAAGGGTGGGAGGCCAGTAATTGTTCTGTCAAACAAATTTATCCCTTCATCGCCCTCCGTCGCCCGTTTTTTCTCACTTCAAAGCCAATGTTGACCACCCTTGGGCCATTTTCTTGCACCCTAAACCCCATATTTGTGATGTACACATCTGGGAGGCCACCAATATTTGGTGGCCGACCAGTAATTGTTGTTGAACCTTTTGAACCCCTTTGAAAAGTGGATTGTTCTCTCTCCTGGTTCACTTTCTCCAATTCTTGACCACAGGGTTGTGTTGTGCACACATGGGAGGCCCTCTTTCTGTGGTGGCCGGCCACTAATTCTCATTGAACCTTTTGACCCTTGGCCGGCCGGCCATGGGATGTAGCCGGCCGGCCACCTGCAACCTAGATAGCTGGCCGGTCATGATCCTTGCACCCTGTTCCTTACAGCTGTGTATCTCTTTTCCCCCAAGATTGTGTATCCGGGGGGGTGCATTTTTTGGAGGAAACTTGTTTGTTTTCCCTCCATTTTTTCCCCCATTTTTCCCCCTTCTCTTGCCTATATAACCAGCCTCCCAGCTCTGGTTTAGGGGTTGGAAAAATGACCTAAGAGCTTTGCATACATACACCTCCCTCTCCCTCTCTTCCAAGCTTTAAACCTCTCAAACCCTACACCATTTCTTCACCAACCCATACCCCCACCCTTCCATCCTTCATTCCAGCAGCTGGAGGTTGTTCTTCAGAGCCTAGGAGTGCTGTAACTCAAGCCAAGGAGCTGTCAAAGACAAGTCTTCAAGGGTGAGTCCTTATTTTCCCTTTTTGTGTTTTATTTTGTTCAATACATTAGCCTTGCTTGCTTGCTGTTTTGGGCTCCGAACCTAACTGGAACGAGGCCCATTTTGAGCTATTTTTCATGTTTGTTTAAGGGTATTTACCTGTTTGAGGTCTTCTTGTTGCACTTGCTTCATTATCTCCTTTGTATGCCATCTTCTTGTGTAGTATTTTTGGCCTATGTATAAACTGTTTTGAGCTCTGTCATGAACTGAAAAATGGCTTATTTTGAGCCCTTCTTCAATGTTGTTGAGGGCTCATTGCTGTTTGAGGCTTTCATTTATCACTTGCCTTTATATCTCTCTTTTTGGCCTTATTTTGCATTGCATTTTGAGCATTCTTGCATACTATTTTGGGTCCAGCCATCAACTGTAAAGTGCAATATTTTGGGCCCCTCTTCAACATTGTTGAAGGTCCCTCATCTGTTTGAGGCCTGCAGTTGTGACTTGCTTCTTTATCTCACATTTAGGGCTATTTTTGCATGCTAGTTTTGCCCTATTTGTGTTTGCTGTTTGGCCTTGCTTAGAACTATAAACGTGCTTGTTTTGGGGCTGCCTTGAATCTATCTTCACATGTCATGAGCAAATAATGCATGCTTGATGTAGCTACAAGTCATTTCATGTGCTTAATCTTGCATTTCGGGACCATTTCATGTATCGGGTACTATATCGCCATGATTCGGGACTGTTTTGGGTCATATTTTAGTATTGAAATTTTCATGCTAGTATGCCATATTCCATGATTTGCCATGTCTTGTTAGAGTGGCATTTTGTGCCTTAGGATCGGTCCTCGGTTTGCGTGCATGTGTGCACGCATTCCGAGTTGTCTCATTTTCATCTTATGGCCTCCTATGCGAGTGTGGCTGAGGTCCACTTGTGTTGGTATAAGTCCATTGTGCATTGTGTATGCCATTTCATTTCATAGCATTGCGTATGCTAGGTTGTATGTTAGCGCATTGTGTATGTCATGTTATCTCGTGCATCGTGTATGCCATTTCATAGCATTGTGCATGTTAGATTGTATATTAGTTGCATTCATGCATGTCATGCATATTGCATTGTGCTTGGGATAGGAATTAGCCCAGGCACGGGAAACGAGGTACGTTTCGTACTCCGAGTGACGGAACGCGTCTCAATTCCCAGTCGCCGACACTCCGGATTATCCATGATGGAGTCTAGGTTGTTTTGTTTTCATGTGCATTCATTCCATATTGATCATGCAAATCGACTCTTGGCGCATCATGCATCGATATTACTGTGATTGGTGGCACGAGGATCAAGGCATGCATACATTTGTGAAAATACATTGCTATGCCCCTTTTACCTGCATCTCTGTTGCAGCCAAAGCAAAAGAATTAGCAACCTTCCGGAGCTTGCGCGGCTTTCCAAGAGTTATTAGCAAAACAGAGGCTAATGGGGCATCCCATTGGATTTCCGCGCAAGGCAGCCCAGACATGCATCATCCATCATCTGAAGAAGAGTCAAGGCAGTCCCTGGCTTGGCATGCCCAGTTTATATTTTTCTTGTTAATTTTGTAAATTAATTAGGAATTTGTATTATATTTGGACTGTATTAATTTGGACTGTACTATTTATTCGGACCTCTCTGCGCGGAGGCACAACTGTAATATAAGTTGCGTTGTGTGTGTGTTGTGATATGTATTCCAACCCACGTTCTTCTCCCTTTTATTTACCCGTTTATGATGGTTAGATTAGGGCAATTTCAATTAGCATACAGTTTGATAGCATGTTGCATTCATTCATCTGTTTTGCATGCACCAGGCTCGCGCATCATACTAACTGCATTATATTGTCAATTCCTAAGTTGAATAACATGTTAGCTGTAGCATTTCAATATGCCATGTGTTTAGAATAGCGACCTGCTATAGTTTCATTTTTGCATGTGTTCAATTAGGCACTTCTGATCATATTAGGATCATGCATGGATTCTATTAGCTTCTTTTTTGGCTTGTAGTACTCGGTAAATTTTATGCTTAGCATCCTGTCATTCGTGTGAGTGACTGCCATGATAGCATGCTTACCATGAAGCTAATTGCTTAATGTGATATAACTGCCTGAATGCCTGTAGGTGAAGGTTGGGTTATTTGGATTGGAAACATCATCAACTGTGAGTTTAAAGCTCCCACTAGGATAGTGGTGCACAACATCTTTTTCTTAAGCCCACCTGAGGGTGGCAAAATCTGCATTTTAAGCCTACTTGCGAGTAGCAAACCATCTTTCAAAAACAAACAGGAAATGTTTTGTTCCAATTCAGGCGATCCAGTCTATACTTGTATGCTGTGTGCATTACATAGTAAATCTAGGCTAATAACTGGAATAAGAACACATAATGTTTTCAAAAATAGATATCATAGTTAGTAGAGGCCAATCTTTGATCGGGCGAGCGGGGGTGCTCACGAAGTGACCTTCCCCAATCGTACCCAAGTTCCCGAGCCGAGGCAACTTTGGTGATGACGGACACGTGGCCTTAGGCAAATGAGTCAGGGTTTCCTAAATTTCTCCAAAATAAAACATTTAG